GAAGGAATATGGGAGGAGGGAGGGGGGGTGGAGGGGGCTAGATTGAGATATGAAACGAAAGATATGGAAGGGATGGAGGGTGCGGGGAGAGACTGTGTTCGTGTCGCCGCAGGCGACGCAGACGACCAGCTCTGCAGCGTGGCGGTCGATTTCGTGGTCCTCATCCTCATCGAGGCCGCGTCTGCAAGGGTAGTACTTGCCGCAGCAAGCGGCCTTGAGCCAGCAGTTGCGCGTGTAGTTTTCGCAGCACTTGGAAACGCCCTTGCCGGAGTAGCGGTGGGTGGGGTGGCGGGTGAGGTCGGGTTCGCGGCTGAGGGCGCGCTGGCGGGCCCCAGCGAAGAGATTGTGGATGCGCTCGGCCTGCTGGGACTCGGAGAGGGCGGGGTCTTGCTGGATGGCGCGCACGGCCTCGTGCATGGCGGTGGAGCGGGAGGTGGGGTGAGGTTCCTTGGGGCCGGGGGCGGCGCGGTCGTTACACGCGGGGACGGCGGGCTGCGGGGAGGAGGGCTCGGGGTGATCGTGGTGGTGGTGGTGAGGGTGCGAGGTAGGGTCCATGGCGAAATGGAATTTGTCGGGGTTCCCACAGGAGAGCTCCGGGTGATATGCAAGCTCTGTGCCAAGTCGCTTGGTGGTGAAAGCGGGCAAGCCCGGGGGCGAGTTGACGGTCAAGGCGATAAGTGGGTATGCGGACATGACACGCCTAGGGCCGGGGGTAAAGGAAGGGGGGGAAGGAATATGGGAGGAGGGAGGGGGGGTGGAGGGGGCTAGATTGAGATATGAAACGAAAGATATGGAAGGGATGGAGGGTGCGGGGAGAGACTGTGTTCGTGTCCATGTTAGGAGGATGACCCGGTGGCGGGGACCATAGCATGTCGGAGGATGTGTGTTGGTCCCGGTACTGAGGAGGTGAGGAAGACGGTGATGGGGCGTGGTGGTCGGGCGCCAGGCAGGGGTGGCGGGGAGGAGGGGACGTGGTCCTATTTGGGGGGGGGGAAGGGGGGTTGGTGGCGGGGGGGAGATAGCGAGGGCGAGGTGGTTCACAGGAAAGGGATTTCGGCGAAGCCACTTCATCATCGATCATGAACTAGAGAGCAGCCTCCCCGGCTTCTCTCCATTTCATGATCGATGCCAAGGAGAGAGTTGATTTCAAAAAGCTGAACTCTGGGTACCCTTCTGCCGTCCGGTGGTGCTCCGTTTCCTAAACAGAGTGTAATGTTGAGAAAACCAATGTTTTGATCTGCATGTGCCCGTATTTGGATTTAATTCCACCCTTTCATTGTACTGCAAGTGCCACTGCACCGCATCGAGTCCATGGAATTTTAGTAGTGTGCACATGGACTGAGTGTGGACTGGTACTTCCTTTAGCCAATGGATTTCGACCAGTTTGCAGAATTACCAAGCATTACAGTGGTTCTGTGTTGCATTCGTTGTGGCGTGCGATTAATTTAATGAAATGACCCCGCCAATAGCGTGACCGCAACTGGTTGAAGAAAAAGAAAAGAGCCTGTTAGGACTGGCCCTCAGGGCTGTGCCTCTTCGCGCACGCGCGCGCACGAGTACTGTACGCACGAACGTCGTAGACGCCGTATACAGTAGGGGTCGGACGGACACTGACCGGCCGGCGACGCGGGGCCTCTGTACTCATCGTATGGATACACTGAGAGGGACGCGCAAGATTAAGCCGAAGAGAGCGCGCTCAGTGAGCAACCAGCGTGCCCCGCGCATCTGCCGCTGCCCGACGCGCCGTCGTTTGCCACCGGCTCCCCGTCGCCCACGCGCGCTGCGGAACACCGGCGCTTTGAGACGCATCATGGCGACCGGCCCTCGCCCTCACCATTCACTATCGCCGACTCAGATGGCTCAGCCACAGGCTATCGACGCGCCGAACTGCTGAGACCCTAGAACGTCGACGTCACAGCTCTCTACGCCCGGCGGCGTCGCACGCATCGGACGGAAACCGCGCTACGCAGGGGACCGCTACTGTACGGCGACAACCTGGTGAGGGCGAGTGCCGACGTCGACCCATGGACAGACCCCCGCAGACGGACGCGCCTTCATTCTATACGCCACAGTGGCAAGGAGGGGTGTCTATTCGTGTGATATTTAATTGAACAGGCCTCAGGAGGCCACCATTCGAGGTACTGTATTGGCGGCACGTGGGAAACAAAGGGCACATTACTGCGACACGACACGGGTCTACCGTAACTACTCGCCACTTTGCGCCACTGGGGTCCGGGACGGCGACGTCACGCGCTGGTGCGGCGCCGCGCTGCGGGCCACGAGTGTCGCTCAACCCCTTCTCTGAGACCGGGAATGCCACGTACATTCGAAGAGTCTGGACAAGAATGCGGATCGAGGCGTCTCGCAAATGGACGACAGCTCACGCCAGCCGACCAGATCTCGCGCTATGGCCCGCTCGCGTGGTGCAGTAGACCTCCAATAGGAAGGGGAACGCACCGCGAATCGCAGAGGGGCACATCGCGCTGCCGAAGCTCTAGCGTCCGGTCAAGGACACGCTTAGACTTCGTGACGTACCGGCGGAGCCGCACGGATCTGACGTACAGCACAACCGGTGTGACTTTCAGTGCGACCGCTGGCAGCCGCCAAGGGCGGACAAAGAACCGAAGTTCGACTCGATGGCGCGACTTTTCGGCGACACCCTGTCCTGCCGCCCCAACGGCGGGACGAGGACCTCGGGAGGTGATTTGTGCGGAAGGACGAATCGCTGTACTCGGAAAGGGAAGATACCAATTGCTTCTACGCCCGGGGGATTGAGTGCCCCACCGGCTGCGAAGGAATGCCAGGAGGTTGGGGGGGGAATGAGCTACAGGGATCCGATCGGGGTGCTTGGCACGGCCGTGACGGGGCGCTGGCGACTACGAGCAACAAGCGGTTCTCGCAAGTGCCTCGCGGGCATTCGGAGAAGACAAGAACCCCTGACGATGGGCTCCTCGACGAGGGCAAAGAACGGCTAAATGCTTGGAGCACAAGGTGAGAACAATCTCCGACGCGGAAGGGGGAGGCGTAGGGTTGGAAACGGTAACGTCGCTGGACCCCTGCAGAAGGCGTGAGCAGGGGAAGACTGGAAGGAAGCAGGGCTCGCAGGGGCGCGATGTCTGGAGGACCGCGGGCTTGGACACGAATGGTTGCCGTGAACGCAGAGGTTCCCTCTTAAGGGGGGGGTGCGTGTAGCATAACCGCCGACTACTGTACTATATATTGGATTTAGAATTAGATCTAACGCTGTAAGGTACGGACATTACAGCGCGCGCGCGCATACCTTACAGCGCGCGCGCACCAACACGTGTACCCCACGTGTAGCACACGTGTGCTGTCAGCCCCGACGGCTGACAGCGTTACAGTGCGGACCGGCCCGCACTGTCTACAGTAAGCCGACTACAGTACAGTCCGTACTGTACTGTAGACGGTTAATTAACTTGTACAATAAATATAAGGAGCGACCGCCGGCGGAGGGGACCAGGACAGGCAACCCTCCACCGACGGTCGACCATCCAGCTTACTGTACTCACACCGCCGTTCCGCGAGTAGCTACCACCGAGCGGGTAGTGGACGCGCGCGACACCGCGGCGAGCTGCGATCCGCCTCCTCCCGTTAGTACCGGATCGTCAACCGGTACTGCTCCGGGGCGTCGAGGCGTCGATCCACTCGCCTACGCGCGCGTCCCCGCCGACCACGCTCTACCACCCGCTACCGGCCCGCTTCCGGTGGCGTTGGTTGGTTCAAGACCCTCGGTACGCCGATCCGGGGTCTTCCGCCGAACATCGCAAACACCCCCTCCGCCGGGTGTGGGGTGTTTATGCGACATTATCTCCTTACGCGTCCGAACGCGCGTCGCTCTGCCTACAGCCCACCACACCTGGCTGTAGTGAACGACACTGATGCCCATGCGGTGGACAAGTCAAGTAGAACTTGCAGCCCCTCGGCCTAGCCTGCCATGAGCTTGACGTCATCTGCAAACACTCCGACATCAACGTCAACCGCGGGATCAATCGTTTGCCGGAATTGAAGCGAGTCCCCGATGGAAGCACGAAAAGTATCCAGTGCACGTTGTAAAGCTCTGGACTGGACGAGCAGCGTTGTGGAACTCCGCTAGAGATTGTGGCCACAGTTCCAGAGGGATTTTTAGTGCAGACCGTCATCGGATGAAGCTGAAGCGCGGTCTGGTGTGCAGTGTGTTTCGAAAGGCACGTGCAGACACGCTGCATGAGTAGATTGCGAGGTACTGACCCGTAGGCGTCGGACAACGGCAATGTAGCGGAGCTCAGCGTTAGGGTTGGCACCATGCTGGACAATGGCAGTCTCAGTTCCTGTACGTTTCTGGAATCTAATTTAAGCTCCATGAAACTTGTATTCTTTTCTAATCGACACACCGATCGTCCTTGAGATCATTTGACATGCATGCGAAAACAAGGAAATGGGACGGTAGTTTGCGGGGATCGAATTTATTCTTTTTTTGTACAGCAGAACAACGGCTGCTGTGCTCCAATCATGGAGTAGGTGCTCCAGCTGGCTGCATTTCACCCAAAAGGATACCGACAATATCAGGAACTCTGTCGGGGCGCGTTTGAACGCCTCAGAGAACAGCTCGTCATCTCCAGGCGCTTGGCGGCATGCTGCTCGCCTGATAGCTTTTGCAACTCGGCCCCAAAGCTCCCAAGTCTCGGCAGATGCTACGATACCCGGTTGAAATCCTGTTCCAGTTGGCGTAGCCAGATGTCTAGTGAACTCTACGTGGTCAAGCACAGAATCATCCGAGGCGTTTGACGAGTCAGTGTTTGCGTGAGATTTCCTTAGGATCGACTTGATGCGCTTCTGAGAATCTCGAAGAGTCGAGCTGGCCATACACTTCGCTGTGGTTTGAGCGAACCGCTTTTTGGCACAGGGCACTATTCGCCTGATACGCTTGTCAAGTTTGCTATACAGGTTCCAGTCAGTAGGTGAAGCAGTTTCGCTGGCACGGGGATAATTATTGCTTCGTTCACGCTTCAAGTATTCGAGGTAATCATGCGAGAAGTATTTGAAGTGCCTGGGACGGTGCTTACGGATGCACTCCGATGGTGCCAGAACGGTGTTCTTTAACTGCGAGTAGATGCTCTTAAGGTCCGCTATGGTACGACAAGTCTTTATCTGCTCGACGAAACGAAGTATCTTCTGCTTTTAAAGCGCTTTAGCTGCTTCGGTATACACTGGATTCCCTCCTTGCTTTTGTGGAATCGCGGGCACGATCAACTTGGGCTGCGTCATGGCATTTAAAGTGGCACGCACTGGCTCATGATCACTTACGCAGTCCGATTTGGCATGCATCAAGGCGGCTCCAATCGACGCAGGAGACCGCGTGAGGATGAGGTCCACTTTACTCGAGCCAAGATGGCCTGAGAATGTCCGTTCTGAACAGGGCATGAATGACCCAGCGATGGTTCTTTGCCCAAGCTACGAGCCATCACCGTGACTGTTGGAAGTTCTATCCCAGGTGCGATGGAGGCTAATAAAGCCACCCATAATGACCGCCTTGCCCCGTCAAGCCTTGTGTGCAGTGTTCATGCACTCCAAGAAGACCCCCTTCGGTACCAGTAGTGACAATTATAACGAGATGACTAGGGTCTGCGCGACCGAAAGTGCTAGAAGCTGGTACTTTTCAGGAGCCATTTTAGACAACACGTAGTATCGCATGAGGGGATGGATCTTGAATGCCACTCTGCCTTACCCACGCCATCCACCGTGGGACTGTGTGACCGAGACTGGTTCAT